ACCCAGACCCATCACCCTACCCTATCCCTGTAACCGTGCATTTCCCATAACTAATCCGCCAAGCCTGCACATCCCTGGATACTGCGCAATTTAGCATGGCCAATTCACCTAACCAGCACATCTTTAGACTACAGGAGGAAAATGGATCACCTGGAGGAAACCCAAGCAGACACAGGGACAATGTGCAAACTCCACACAGATAGCCACACAAGGGTGGAATCGAACTCGAGTCCCCGGCTCTGAGAAGCAGCACTGCTAACCACTGAACCACCACACTGCCCTAAATGGGTGGTCCACTTCAGTTTCAGGTCCAGGGCATTCTCCAGGATTTGGTGATGAGAGATTCAGTAATAGTAATGCCATTTAAATATCAAGAGGAGATGATTAGATTGAAATGGATAATAATCGACCACATTGGATTTGAACATACCTGAGGAATTTTCCACATTTCTGAGTATGCTAGCGTTGTAGCTGTACCGGAACAGCTTCGTTACGGCTGTGGCTAGTTCTGAAACACCAGTTCAGTACTATTACCTGAAAGTTGTCAGGGCTCATAGCTGTTACCAGCGCTTTCAGCTGTTTCTTGAAAGCATGTGGAGTGAATGGAATTGGCTGAATAATGGCATGTGATGTTGGGTACCTCAGGAGGAATTTGAGATAGATCATTCACTTGGTGCTTCTGGCTGAAGATGGTAATAAATGCTTCAGCATTATCTTATGCACTGATGTTTTGGTCTCCCCAGGCATTAGGGACAGGGATTTTTGTGCAGCCTTCTCCTACCGATTCCCCTTATCCTCATATGTTCCACTCCACCAGTCTCCAACTTCAATAGTCTGCCATTTATACACCTCCAGTGTGATGCCACCACCAAACACATCATTCACTCCCTTCCTTATAAAGGGAAGGGGAGAACAAACAGAAAATAAGAGACCAGTTAGCCTAAAATCAGTAGTTGAGAAAATACTGGAGTCTATTATGAAAGATATTATAACAGAATATTTGGAAAGCATCAAATGGGATTGGACAAAGCCAGCATGGCTTTGAAAGGCAAATCACGCTTTACAATGTACTTGATTGTTTTGAGGATATAACTAGTAGAATAGATAGGAGAGAATCAATGGTTGTGATTTTATTTGAATTATTGTCACATGTAGCTAGGTACAGTGAAATGTTTTGTATTGCATGCAGTACAGGCAGACTATAACATACAAAGATCATACGGTGATTGAAGAGCAAGAAATACCAAGTTATGGCTGCAAAAAAGGTGCACAAAAAGCAAGATCAACATTAGATTTGAAATTTGAGAGGTCTATTTAGAAGTCTAATAACAGCAGGCAGAAGCTGTTCTTGAACCTGACGGTACGTGTTTATGCTTTTGTATCTTGTGCCTGATGGAAGAGATTATAACCATGGCAGGAAGGGTCTTCGATTATGTTTCCCAAGGCAGCGAGAAGTGTAGATGGAGTCCATGGATGGAAGGTTGGCTTGTGTAATGTGCTGGGTTTCCTATAGTCCTGGGCAGAGCTGTGGCCGTACCAACCCGTGATGCATCAAGATAGAATGCTTTCTATGGTGCAGCTGTAAAAGTTGGTGAGAGTCCTTATGGACATGCCAAATTTCCTTAGCCTCCTGAGAATGTGGTGTATTTCGATTTTAAGAAGTCTTTTGATAAAGTCCTCCATTTGTTAGTGAAAAACTTTAAAACACACAACACAGGGACTAAGATATTAGCAGGGATTGAGAATAGACAAAGAGAAATCAGATAGCAAAAATAAATTTTGAGTGACAGGCAGTAACTTAGTGGGGTACTGCAAAGATCAGTGCTTGGGCCCCAGCTGTTTGGAACTGAAAGTTTGTGAGTAAGATAGAAGGAGGCTTCAACATGATTTGGACAAGTTTAGTGGGCAAACACATAGCAGACACAGTGCAGCATGGCTAAAGAGACCGTATGTTAAATAATACAGTTCAGTTTGAAAAACAGGAAAGCAGAGTATCATTTAAATGGTGATTGTTGAGAAGTGTAGGTATACAAAGATCTGGGTGTCCTTGAACATCAGTCAATGAAAGTCAATAGCAAGTGCAGCAAGCAATTAGAAGGCAAATGGTATTTGGCTTTCATTGCAAGAGGATTCAAGTTCAGAACTAAAGATGTCTCACTGTGGTTACACAGGGACCACACCCGGAGTTTTGGCCCCCCCTAAGAAAATACATACACTATAGAAGGAGTGCAGTATAAGTTTACTAGGCTGATACCACAGATGGCACGATTGTCCTATGAAGAGAGACTGATTGATTTGGCCTGTATACATCATAGTTCAGAGGATGGGAAGGGGATCTAGTTGAAACATAAAATCATAACACGGGAGGACAGAAAGAGAGAGAATGTTGTCTCAAGCTGGCAGTCTAGAACCAGGAGAGACAGTCTCACTGTATAGGGTAGATCAGGATTTTGGGTGAAGAATTTTTTTCCCCCTCAAAGAATAGTGAACTGTGGAATTCTCTTCCACAGAAAGCCATGGGGGCCTAGTCATATTGGGGTCTGCAGACAATGACAATATTTAAATTGAAAAAATTCTGTTCACTGCTTATTCAACATTCATACAGGAGTTGTCTTGAGAAGCGGTAGTGAAGTAGAGCATGGAGTGTCGTTTCTATACACGTGAATATTAATGCCATATTTTTGGATATTGTCATCAAGAGGCAGCATGTAGATGAGAAATAGAAAGGGGCCAAGGATAAATCCCTGGTGTTGGAGGTAATAGTTGAGAGTAGAATAATAACTATCGCAAGTCAAACTCTGACTATGATCAAATACGTAGGAGTGGGATCAAGTGAGTATCATCTCCCCAGCTGGACAACAGTAGAGCAAAAGGATGTGATGAACTGTGTCAATGCAGGAGGCACATTGAAGGGTACAAGAAGGATTGTTGCCCTTGTCAAAGTCATGTAAGATGCCGTTTGTGACTGATAAGATTGGTGTTATTACTGTTTTAGGAATCTTGGAGAAATTTAAAAATAGAATTCCAAGAAAGATGGGCACAGATGAGACACACAAAACATTCAAGGAAATGGTGAGGAAAGGAATTTGGGTGATGGCGCAGTAATTTGCAAGGATAGTACTTGAAGAGGGAGAATTATTCACAATGTTAAGTAAAACAGAGACTAGAAGTGGATGGATGGCAGTTTAGCAGGAATAACATTGAGGGAGCATAAGGTAGGTCTCATGGACAAGATGCGCTCAGAGACAGTATGAGGAGAGATGGGAGTTAATTATCAGAATGGCAGATCAGGGCTAAGAAAGGGAAATCTTTGGTTGAGTGGAATCAGGTATGGAAGAAACTGTTTGGAATGCATATATCTTACTGCCAAAGAATTGAGGAAACAGACTCTTACTGATCCTGGCTGTTCCAATGTAAGTGGCTTTTTGATGCAGGGCACAAGGCAACAAGACTTGCCTTAATTCTCCTCCTTCCCCACCACCAGTGGATGCCAAACAGCTACTGTCACATACCAGTGTTTTAACAATTTTTTTCATGAGATGTCAGCCTTTCTCAGGAGGTCAGCATTTGCTTCCCATCCATAATTCCCACTTAAAAAGGGTTCTCCCTTTGTTCAGGTGGTCTGTCACTATGTCAGTACCATCTGGGGTTGGGACATGGAAATGGTTCCAACTCCTCAAAATATTTATTCTCAACCAAACGGAACAGATATTCTGTATTCATCCTGTCCATTCCCCTTATAATCTTATACACCTCAATCATGTCCCCACTCAGTCTTCTCTGCTCTAAAGAAAACAATCCAAGCCTAGTCTTTCCTTATAACTCAATTTCTTCATCCTAGGCAACATCCTGGTGAACCTCCTCTGCAGCTCTCTCTAATGTTATCACTTCCTTCCTGTAGTGAGGTGACCAAAACTGCATACAGTACTCTAGCTGTGACCTAACCAATGCTCTGCACAACTCCAACATTATCTTCTTGCTCTTATACTTTGTGCCATGACTGATGAAAGCAGGTGCCCCATATGCCTTCTTAACTAACCTACTCACAAGCTCTTCCAACTTCTGGGATCTGTGAATAATTTCCCACGATCCCTCTGTTCCTCTAAGCTACCCAATGTCCTGCCATTCATTAAATATTCACTCATTTTATTTCTTCTTCCAAAGTGCATCACCTCAAACTAATAGATTAAATATCATCCGCCACTGGTCTGCCCATTTGATCAACCCATTTACACCTTCCCATAACCTACAACCATCTTCTTTGCTCTTAAATACTCTACCAGTCTGCAAATTTGCTTAACATTCCCCCCAACATTTTCATCTGTATCATTTATGAATACAACAAACAATAACGGTCCCAGTACTAATCCTTGTGGTACACCGCTGAACACCAATGATCACCAGCCTCAAGTCCGTTGAACAGCCTTCTACCACTACACTTGGTGTCCTATTACTTAGCCAGTTTCTGGTCCATCTTACCAACTTTCCCTCAATTCCATGCGCTTTAACCTTCTCAGTCTCCCATGTGGGACCTTGTCAAAAGCTTTGCTAAATTCCACATAAACTACATCAACTGAACTTCTCTCACCCTACACTTGATCACATTTTCAAAAAACTGAACAAATTTGTTAGGCATGACCTCCCTCTGACAAAGCCATGCTGACTATCCCTAATTAACCCAAGACTTTCCAAATGGGTATTAAATTCACTCCTTCAGAATTTTCTCCAATAGTTTCCCTACCACTGATGTGAGACTCACCGGTCTGTAATTTCCTGGCTCATCTCTACCACATTTCTTGAAAAGGTAGAACCACAATAGCCATCCTCCATGGCCAGTGAGGAATTAAAAATGTGTGTCAGAGCACCTGCACTTTCCTGCCTCATCTCCCAGAGAAGCCTGGGATGCAATTCATCCAGGCCAGGGAATTTGTTTTTAAGCCTGACAGAGCCTCCAATACTCCCCATTTCCTATGGGAATAATATTAATACAAAAAATATTGTACAAATTATGTTAATTTTTATTACAGAAATTGAACATTTACAAGTTTTTATTTACAAACCAATAATATATCATATTACATCATAAATAGTTGTTTTAATGATGAGTAGTAGGTGCAAGGCACCATGATTTATTACTGTTTTCCTATCACTAAAGCAATAACCACCAATTTTGGTGATTAAAAGATGTCCATCTATCCTCTTCTCACAAAGACTTTGCATTGTTTACAATTCATTTTTTAACTTTATATTTCAAAATTGGTTCCAATAAGGTATTAGCTTAAAAATCAGCACATCAAAAACATACATGAAAGTTTCACTTCATCTGGTATACACTATGGATAAATGCAAAAAAGGGACTACAATTCAAAAAAGAGATTATGTTAGACTTTTTTTCAGTTGATCAGTAGTTAATGTTAATGTGTTTCTGCATTTATTTTCAGTGGTACTCAGCAAACCAATTAAGGTAAATTTTCAACAAAACGTATCAAAGAATTCATATTCCATATGGTAAATTACTGATCAATTTTGAAAGAACTTGAATTTGCAGTAGTTTACCAAAAATAATTACATTTGCATTCTCAATGTGCACATTATTTAAATAGTTTTACATTGAAAACTGAACAGACTAAATTAAAGGCCTCAATATATGAAGATGCTGATTAATTGTTACCAGATGTCTTTCATTAAACACAAACCTGAGTCAGGTACATCATTTAAGGGCAAATTTTAGACTGTTTTGTTTTGATTTATTTGATTGACAGTTCCTCTGAACAACTGAACCCAATTTATATAGTGCTACTGAAATCAGAATGAAATATCAAGTTAATTGTAAAAATGTAATCCTTCACTTTTAGCTTTACAGTTGAAAGCTTGATTTAAAAAGCACCCCGGTACAATAATACAATATGCAAGTACATAATTCTGTAACTCCAGTTTGTGATTGTAAATTGATTACATTCCATTATAAGCAGGGCCACCACCTCCTTCAGGAACCACCCAGTTGATATTCTGGCTGGGATCTTTAATATCACACGTCTTGCAGTGAACACAGTTCTGGGCATTAATCTGCAATCTCATCCCATTACCACTTTCCAAAGGAACATACTCATAAACACCTAAGAGGAGTGGAAAGAAATGATTCATATGACAAATATTCAGAAGGATGGTGCTATTGGAAGTTATAGCAGCAACATTTGTAGGAACTACAACGCAAGGAAATCTGACTGGATAACAGTGGAAACATTTCTTGCATTTATCTCTTGCTTTGCATGACCCCAAGATGTGAAGCACTTTACAATGAAGCAATTATGAAGTGTTTTTACTGGTATAGTGTAGGAAATGCAGTAACTTACACGTAACAAGTCACACAAACGTAATATGATCCTGACAACAATCTTATTTTCTGATATGTAAGGGATAAATATTAGTTACGACAAGAGAGGGAATGCTATTGCTCTTCTTTGAAATAATGCCTTGGTATCTTTTAAGTACATCTGATAGGACAGATGGTTTAAAGTTGCATTTAAAATATAGCAATTTTTACTGTGCAAAACTCAGCATTGTCAGTCTAAATCATACGCTCACGGCTCTCCAGTAATCCCAAAAACCTTCTAACTCAGAGAGCAGATTTAATAGCTGGGTGACAGAATCTCACTGCCAAATTATCCTAGCAAAGTCTGTTTACTATTAGTAGGCTACATCAAGTACCAGCAGAAAAGACAAAATACAATCACTGAACCTTCCTTCAATTTATAAATCTATCCAAAACAGCAGAATTTCACGGTTTTTACATATTGCTTATCACAAACTCAAACACAACTATACCCCTTTAGTTTTTCACTTTTAAAAAGCTACTTCAACATTAGTTTTTAATTATATCACTTGTTTTAACAAGCAAATACAAAATCAAAAATCACCTGAGAGTGTGGGTTTTGATAGTTGTAACATATAGAGCCAAGAGACTCTTTACAGTACTCTTATTTGAGTAGATAATCTTGTTATGCATAGTATACTTGGAGAGTATCATAACCCCTACATATATATATTTTTAAATCAGGTCTTCAAATGTCAATTGGTGGAATGGTTGATGGTTCAACTAGCCTCAACAGCTCTCAGATTACAGCAAAGGAAAACGAAGTACCAATATGTGCTCACACATTCAGTGCCCCTAATGAATGTGTGCATTTGTGGCAAAAGCAAGATTGAAATTGGTCACAGTACCTTCATGGGTTTATAGTTAATATTCAGACTTTATACTGCAGGATTTTTCCCTCCCTGGTGGGGCAAGTTATGGCACAAAGTGGGAAAAGATAGTGAGAATAAAAAGTGAGGTTCTTGATGTCAAGAAGACATCTCCTTTCAAGCCTTAAATGGCGACTTGAGAACTTCACCATTGAGCGGCAACTATCTTATTTCCATGTATCTGCATCTCATTAAAACCTCAACTTGTCTTATTTCTATGCTACTCCAATTGTCCTCTTTTCCAGCAAAAAACTGCAGGGTACAAATTCATGACATGCAAGTCAGAGAGGGTACCTGGCGGCTGCAGCCTGCTAAAATCTAGTCTTGGCCATCATGCAACTGCCTCTTTTGAATGATGTCCCTGCATGTTCCATGGCCACCATCTTTGATAACCCTTCAACCATGTGAGTTGGCTTCGGCAACCACCAGTCTCATCATTATGCTTGCTCTCAGACCACTTCAGCCCTTCCACAGTTCACTTTGGAGATCAGGGATACATGTGACTAATGTGCTTCTGCCAGGTTGCTTTGCGCTCATGGACAGACACATATCACATGCAACCATACAGGATGCATTTGTACCTGCATGAAGAGATACATCCTTGATTCTTAGTTTGCTTTGTTAATGAGTACTCACTTTAATGTTCTAGTGCTCATTAACAGGCTGCAGACTTCCCTGATTTGCATCGCTTTTTAATGCAGGGGGAGAGACAGGCAGCTTGTCAGTGTTGAGCACTGAACTGCCAGTCTATCGGTCAAACAGGAGCTGGACATGTCGCTGTTCAACACAGTGAGATGTCAGTGGCAGGGGTGCAGCTTTCGCTAGCAGTTTATGTGGCAAACAGACTGAATGTGCTTGAAACAAAAGACGATGTATGAAATTCAAAGGGGTCCAATCTTTAGTGGAACGAAGGGGCACCACCATCAGTCCTTACCATACTTGGTCAAGAGTCTTATTTTGTTCTAGTCTGGTGGTTCATGGCCACCTCTGCAAAGAACAGGGCCCTAAATATCATTATACGTGGCTTTAAGTACACACAAGTGTGCCACACTAAGCATCACCGACAATCCTAAACCAGTTGTCAGTGTAATCCCTTTCACATTCAGGATTAACCAACAAATGTCAAAGTGTAGATATGTCTAATGTCAGACACCGTGCTGAGAGTTTTGCAAGCGTGGGCTGGTTCAGTAGTCAGTTCTTTACTTGTTGTGAACGGCAAAGGGATATGCTGTTTGATACAAGCCATCAGTCTTTGGAGCGTATGACCTAAATACCTGGCTTCACACCAACACCAAAAACTCTTATTACATTACTCATTTGGCATAGCAAACGTACAGCATTACTGATAGGTATGAAGTCTTTTTGACTTGATGTCTGCACTCAATTAAAAGACTCATGGGAGGAGGTGGCTCCACAAATATCCCCATCCTCATGATGGAAGAACCCAACACAACAGTGCAAAACATAAGGCTGAAGCATTCGCAGCAATCTTCAGCCAGTGAAAGGTCCATCACAACCTCTTCTAGTGGTCCCCTGCATCGCAGCTGCCAGTCTTCAGCCGATTCAATTCACTCTTCATAATATCAAGAAATGATAGGAGGCACTGGACACTGCAAAGGCTATGGGACCTGACAGCATTCCGGCTATAGGACTGAAGACTTGTGCTCCAGAACTTGACGCTCCCTTAACTGAGATGCTCCAGTAAAGTTACAACACTGGCATCCACCCAACAATATGGAAAATTGCCCAGGTATGTGCTATTCACAAAAGCAGCACGAATCCAAACTGGCCAATTACCATGTCATTAGTTGTGATCATTAGTAGAGTGATGGATAGTGTCATCAATAGCACTATCAAGCAGCACCTGCTCACTAACACCCAGTTTGGGGTCCGCCAGAGCCACTCATCTCTTGACCTCATTGCAGCCTTGGTTCAAACATGGACAAAAAGAGCTGAGAACGACAGCCTTTGACATGAAGGAGCCAAAGCAAAACTGGAATCAATGGAAATCAGGGGCAAACTCATTGCAGGTTGGAGTCACACCTGGCACATAGGTAGGTGATTGTGTTGTTGGAGGTCAGTCATTTCAGTTGCAGGACATCTCTGCAGGATTTCCTCGAGGTAGTGTCCTAGGCCTAACCATCTCCAGCTGCTTCATCAATAACCTTATGATGGAGGGCAGGCCAAGAAGTGGGGATTTTCACTCATGATTGCACCATGTTCATCATTCGTGACTCCTCAGATAATAATGTTTAAATACAAACAAGGCCTGGACAATATTCGAGGTCAGGCTGACAAGTGGTAAGTAACATACGCACCATGCAAATGCCAGGCAATGACCATCACCAATAAGAGACAATCTAACCACCATCCCTTGACATTCAATGGTATTGCCATCATTGAATTCCCTCACTATCAATGTTGAGGATTACCATTGAACAGAAAGCCAAATGGACCCAAGCATATAAATACAGTGGCTATAACAGCAGACCAGAGGCTAGGAATAGCATGGTGGCTAACTCACCTCCTGACTCCCCAAAGCAGGTCAATGATCTACAAGGCACAAATCAGGAGTGTGATGGAATATTCCCAGTTCACTGGATTACTGCAGCTCAACAACACAAAAAAAACTTGACATTATCCAGGACAAAATCAGCCCACTTGATTGGCACCACATCCACAAGCATCTGCTCCCTCCACCACTGACGCACTGTAGTGGCAGTGTGTACCATCTACAAGATGCACTGTAGAAAATCACCAAAGATCCTTAGACAGCATCTTCCATACTCATGGCCACGTCCATCTGGAAGAACAAGGGCAGCAAATACATGGGAAAACCACTACTTGCACGTTTCCATCCACGCCACTCACCATCCTGAGTTATAAATATATTGCAATTCCTGTCGCTGGGTTAAAATCCTGGAATTCCCTCCCTAAAGGCATTGTGGATCTACCTAGAGTGTATGGACTGCAGCAGTTCAAGAATGCAGCTCACTACCACCAACTCAAGAGCAATTAGGGACGGGCAACAAACACTGGCTGTCCGGAGATGCCCAAGTCCCATGGACAAATTTTTAAAAGGTATGTTTGTAGAATTAATTCAATAAATCATGGCACATTAATTTAAAATGAGCTATAGATGTTATGGTTATGGTTGGCAAAGACTGATTAGTCTGGAACGTCTGTTTCTGTGCTGTATGACAATGTAATTTTCTTTCCACATTTCAAAATGGTGACTACCCATATTGCTGGTTCATATCTTACACTTGCTGTATAAGCTGAACCACAATTTCGGGAGGATTTTTGCATGCTTCAAAAGTCAATACAATCACAGATCTACAGTACTTATAAGTACTTCATGTCAAAAAAATAAAAACCCAAAATAGAAAGAAATACTGGTGTTAATTACAAGAGTCTGATTTTCAAACAGTTTCAGCTGTAAAAATAATTGATTTAACAACTAGAAATCATTCAGATTATGAAGTAAGGCTTTGCGAGATTTTGATATCTGAAAAAATACTGAAAAAAACTACCTGAACTAAAACAAGTTACTAAAAATACCTGCAGGACAGAATCTTTGCTCTGGTCCATCAAACTGAGCCAAATTCCTCTTCACTGGTATACTATCATCAAGTAGTGTCAAGTGTGGTGGCTGATCATCTGCGTGATTAGTTCCACTAAGGGCCACAGAGGATAGAAGATCAAAGCTGATTTTTCCATCTGGCTTAGGGTATTCAATGGGTGTGCAATCTTTGGCTGGTTTTAACTGAGAATAATCTGCACCTGAAATTTGATAGAAATATTTTATAGACAAGCATTACCTAATTCAAGGTTATACATTGCATACAAGAGAAAGGAGCCTGGCTCAATCCAAGTTGAAACTTTTATTTCAGTAAGACCAGATCAGCTAATATCATTGAACTTCTGCCTAAAAGTCAGGTTCTAGTTCAGAGTAGAATCAAGTACAAATCAAATTCAAGAGTAGAATCAATCATTTTTCAGCACAATGGTAGATCTGACGTGAGACTGGGAGATGATTATATTGTAGATCAGGATGGGCCAGATGTTGGAGGGAGGAGTTCAGTGTAAGTTGATGACTATAGTGTGTGAATATCGAGTCTGGAGAGACAAACAGAAACTTATCACATGAAATTTAGCACTGGAAGAGAAAAAAAAGTTAGGACCTCCTTTTAGGTAGGCCAGAAACTCCTTAAAATCAAATCCAAACCTGAATTACTCAAGTTATGGCTATAGTAATGTGCTATAATTGGAGTTTTATCATTTTGCATTTCACACTGATTTTCTTACAGTACACTATAATCCATTCATTTCACAGTTAAAGGAAATGAAGAACATTTTTATTATTTTGTTATCATGGCCACTTTATTTGATTTTGTCAGGGACTACTTTTTGGTTTTCAAAGCTTTCTTAGATTGGAAAATTTAAGAACCGAATTGTTCTGTACGGAAGCATTTGAAAACTCACTCTATGCATGCATTAGAGAATATTAAAGAAATAAGAAACCGTGTTGGGCTCGCGACCACAAGTTCAACAATTAAACAGTTCCGGGTGTGGGGTTTCAATGCAGGCTGCCATTCAAATCTCAGGAGTGTGCGTGCAAACAATCATAGTGACAAGTCAACAGATTTAATTCATTTCCACAGATGCCAAAAACACAACCACACAATATACAAATAATCGACTCCAGATAGTGGCTTTATTTTCCTACATATTCCTGTAGTTTTATGATTTATTGGGATTGCAATGAACAGAACGCAAAGAGCAACATTTAGAGAGGGTTGCAGTCACATGGCAAGGTCTGATGTTTATGATGTAGTTATTATTCAATTATGCAACTGACAAGCAACCACCAAAAGGTGCATCTTAAAGATAAAGGATTTTAAAAAAAGCAAGCATAAGCTTCCTCAATGCTCTGCGATAGTTCACCACTACCTGAATACAAGTTTGCAGATTGTTTCAGGATTAGTGAACCTGAAGTAAAAGTATGGGCTACAACGTAATCTGTGTCTTTAGCAAGACTGAGCAAAACTAAATCACCTTTGTGTTTCAGTGTCCAGGGCTCCAATCCTCGAAATATCCAGTAAAATATTCCAGTGTAAATCATTCCACCGTAAACACCCAATGGTCCATGGCAGGAGGGTCGGATATTCCTCACAGAATAAAGTTCCTTCCAAATCCAAGAGTTTCTAATGTCCGTGTCATACTCTGGTATATGTAGGCCTGAGTTCAGCAAAAATTTTACTTCAATTTCAGAAAATAATTTTAATAATTTTTTTAATTAAGCAAAAATAAGTTGACGATTTGAAGTGTTTTCAACAATGCATTCTATTAATCCCTTTAAAATAGACAGAAATGTCTAAAATCTAATTTTATGTGTTTCTTCTCTGTTACACAAACTGCAAAAAAGTTTTGTAAAAAAGATTTCAATCAAAACCTATCAGATCCATACCCTGAGTCACAGGCTGGTGATTATCTTCAATTAGTTTATTAAAGATGGTATCTGCAGCAATCATTCCGCTCTTCATAGCAGTGTGTGTGCCTTTAATTTTAGGGACGTTCAACAATCCTGGACTGCAGCCAACCAATAGACCACCAGGGAAAGACATCCTGGGTACAGACTGTGTAATAATGTTGCTTTAGTCATAAATTTCTTAAATACTACATTAATAGTAACATAGAAATATGTCTTATATAATCTGGCAATATTAATAACAATATATCAACATTATAAAAGTGGTTTGGTTTTTGTGGGTCGACAACAACTGACCTCATTACAGTTGAGGTCCAACCTCAGAAACATGAACAAAAGAGCTGAACCCAAGGGTTGAGGTGGCTGACTGTTCTGTATATCAAGGCAATACTTGGAGGATAGCATCAAGGAATCATAGCAAAACTGAAGTTAGTGAGAATCGGGACAAAAACTCTTCACTGGTTGGATTCATACCTAGCGCAACCTTTCACTTTGCTTTGGATTCCATGGGCTTTTACACTCCTGATCAGTCTGCCATGAGGAACTTTATCAAAAGCCTTGCTAAATCCCATTTAGATCATATCAAATGCATTACCCACATCAAACACTTGTGGTTACTTCCTCAAAAAATTCAAACAAATTTATCAAACATGGTCTCTTAACAAATCCTTGCTGACCATCCCTGATTAATCAGTGTCTCTCCAAGTGCATATTATATTCTGTTTTGTCAGAATGTTTTCTAATAATTTCCTGACCAACAAGGTTAGACTGACCTGCTAGTAATTTTCCTTGTCCATCCCCAAATTATTTATCATTATATCAACTACTTATGTATGGAGATAGTAGGAACTGCAGATGCTGGAGAAACTGAGATAACAAGGTTTAGAGCTGGATGAACACAGCATGGCCAAGCAGCATCAGAGGAGCAGGAAAGCGGATGTTTCGGGTCTGGACCCTTCTTCAGAAAAAAATTTTTTTTCTCTAATGCTGCTTGGCCTGCTGTGTTCATCCAGCTCTACATCTTGTTATCACTCTACTTATCTATGGCAACTGTCCTATTGAGAACTGCCATCTGTTAGCAATAAAAGGTCAATCCCTCTACAAAATTGTTTAATGTTACATATAATACAGATATTGGATTGTCAGAATACCTGTACACCACCTTCATTTAAGGCACGGGCTCCATAAGCAATCCTTTTTCCACCTTCTATGGTTGGTGCTATTGAAGGATGGTGTTTCCATCTCTGGAATTCTTTAAATGGATTCAGGTATGGATTTTGATAATCCAGACCCACCTACAGAACAAACCAAAACAATCACCAAATGCAAAAATCTATACCTTAACAAGTTTAGGTGCAGACAGACACCAAAAACAAAAATTAACATTGGAATTTATTGGCAGTGATACATATGACAGAGAAATAAACTTAATTGAGGAAATCTACCTACTTAGCTTGCACTTCAGAATACACATTGGGCATTTGCTACAAATAAGTACTGCAGGAGTAATCACACAATGATCATTTTGATACTTAAATGACTAATTCAGTTCTTCATTGTGTGAAATTTTGCTTTTCTGAGCTATTAGTATGACATTTACACCCATGGTATAAATAAATACATTATCACATTTCCATTTGAAGAGGGCCAATCAAAGGTACCTGATCACTGATACCTCAGGATTGCCTGAGGTAATGAGTATATGGGTGAGGTAATTTATATGAAGGGAAAAGTTTCAGGAGGATTCAAAAATTAATAAATTTAGAGAGGGGGCAAGTGAGAAATTGGTCAGGGATAGATATCTCGGTGATGAGGCCATGAGAGGGGTGCGGAAATGGTTATGACGACAAGGGCATTGTTTGCAAATGATAATTCTTTCATTATTTCTGCAGGGAAATGTGACTTTCTGTTGGTCTGTTTGCCAAGTCTGAGGCACTGTGGTGGATAAGATAGGATTTGTAAGAAAAGGACATGATTAACTCCCAATGAGCACAAAGGATGACAGGAGGAGGATAAACAGTGGGGATTGCTGCTCTTACAACAGCAGTGTATACAGAGAAATATAAATATACATTTAAGAATGTTTAAAAGCTCAGAAAGTTCCTGTGGTTTACAAAAGGTTTACAGCAGAAGAACAGGAAGGTTGAAAGTTGATAGAATTGGGCGGAATATCAAGTAATGGTAGTCAAGAGGAGGAAAGATTGAATTTAATATGACTTGCAAAAGGAAGGAGAAGCTGAAGTAGAATTGGGTTGGTTTCAGAGTCCAAATAGATAGGCAAATTACCAAAAAGATTTTGAGTTACTTAGCCTTGGCAGAGAATGGAAATGACATATAATCAAATGCATTTTCCCTAATCCAGGCACACCACAGAGAAGGTTAATGAAATTTTAGCTATCTATAGACTGATGAAGGAAACCAGTGCTCTTGGTGCAGGAAGAATGCTGAATAGAAATTGCTAGCAAAATCAATGATGTCCAATTAACTATCTTAAACTGAGAATTGAAGGTGCAGAATGATTACCAACAGTTGCTAGCCAAAAACATGAAATATTGGTTAAAGATCTGAAATCGTTGAACTCAATAGTGATTCTGGATCAACACAAAATGTCCAACTGAACAATGAAGTACTGTTTCTCAAATTCACATTCAGTTTCATTAGAACAATGAAGGCGGTGGACAGAGAAGTCAGAATGGGCAGGGAATTAAAAAAACAAGCAGTTTCAAGTTCAAAGTGTGACAACACACTGCAAGAACTGAAAAGAAGTTAACATAACAATTTTAAGAAGTTGTTCTAATGGTCAATATAAAATAAAGAACAAACATTTCTGCAAGTGCTCATGTCAGTAATTATCTGTAGAGAGAGAAACAACGATCGTTTTAGGTTGATCACATTTTTGTGAAACTGGAGGCAAAGAAGGTGCAGGTTGGATGAGGGAGCACAGGATGGAAAGCAGGAGAGATTAACTGACAAAAGGGATGACATGATGACACACAGCTAAAGGTGATGATAATAGGACAAATAAAGAAACAAAATATGGATCTACAGGTAGTGTAAATGAGAGGAGCACAAGGATCTAAAGTGAAAGTGGAAACTGGTAATGTTAGGAGGTAGAAGTAGGCAGTCTTAATGGTCAACAATTATGCTGATGGAAGCACAGAGCCAAATAGGATGGCAAGCTTAAAAGCAAATACTTTATAAAATTGAACCCCATTATAGCACACTTACATTTAAAGATCTATCCCAAAATTAACCAATTTTGTCAAGAAGGGGCAACCATAATTAGAAATTAAAACTAGTTCAATTTTATCTTTCCTTTAGCTCATCTAGTAATAAACTAGCACACAACTACAATGATTAGAAATACAATAATAATTAACATACTTACCACAAAGCCCAAAGCCACCAAAGGTTCTCCCTCATTCAAATGATAAAGGAATGATCCACCATATGTATGCCTATCTAGAGGCCATCCCACACTGTGTTCCACTCTCCCAGGTTTCCACTTGCTTTCGTCAATAACCCAAATCTGTCAATAAAATGGAAGTCAGAAATACATGTTACCATGATAAACACTTCTGCTGGACGTGAAGATTTGAAGCGTCAAATCTGTGAAAATAGAAGAAGGAGAAATGAATATACATACAGCAACTTCATTACAATTACCCTCAAACTGAACACATTACATCTTAAAATCATTCCTCGAAGTACTGAACCTTATGTGCTAATAGAAAAACCTAAGTTCAAGTGTCACTAATACTTTTTGCGATCAAAAGAGAACAACCCAAAATCCATAGGGTACATCAATGGTAGTGTGTTTATGCTACTGGACTAGTGCTCTACAGCTCTGAAGACATGAATTCAAATCTCACCACAGCAGCATTTCAGATCAAAACAACATACTGTTTTGAAAACGGTTTTCCCATATTGCCTCTAATATGGACTTAGAATTGCTACTCTAAGCCACGTAGATTCTTCGTTTCCATGTAAAATGTCACTTAGCAATTAAATGCCCATTCTACAAATTTATCAACTTCATCTCTTGTAACTCCCAACTCAACTTTCCTTTTCTTAATATATGTGCTTGTAGAATATTTTATTATTTCTGTTATTTTATAATTTGATTTCATAGCTCCTTTTTTCCTTCCTAACTCTCCTAGACTTGTTTCCTATTCTCTATGGTTGCTGTCTTTCCTCCTCCCTACGTACTGAGTATATGCTTCTTACATCCAATCTTTCCTCACATCTTTAGATATGCATAGCACCTCAATAGTGTTTGGTTTGTTCTTACTTTTAAGCAAATTACAGTTTTCTTGGACTGAACTTTTTTTTATACATGTTTCCCATCGCAGTTCCACATTATTATCTATCATTGGATTTTCTCAAGTTCTATTCTCAGCCCCTCAAAAAGTAAGTTTATCACAGTCATAAAAGACTTAATATTGTAGGCAGTCTAGATGAATATAGAAAGTGCTAGGATGAAGTTAAAAAGGAAATTTGAAAACCAAAGAGGGGAAATGGTAATTTATTGGTAGATAAAATAAAGGAAGCTGAAAGATATTTGATCAGTATACCAAGAGCAGGAGAATGATGGAAAGGGTGGGGCCCTCCACTCCATTCTAGTGGACTGTGAAATATCAGGTATAGTAAGCTTAATGCAAGAGGAAGCACAGGAGGGATTGACATCT